TTTTTTTTTTTTTTCCCCCCTCCACCTCCTGTCATTTTATTTCCGTAGTGGATGCTAACTTTTTCTTCCACCTTTTCTAGTATCCCCACATCAACGAATTTGTCAACCTGCTGCACAAGAAGCGTATCTCGTCATTCTTGGTCACCAATGCTCAGTTCCCGGATGCTATCGCCAACATGGACCCAGTGACACAGCTGTACGTCAGTGTGGACGCATCGACCAAAGAGTCGCTCAAGAAGATTGACCGCCCCTTGTTCCGTGACTTTTGGGAGCGATTCCTTGACAGTTTGGACGCGCTCGGCAAGAAGGGACAGCGCACAGTATACAGACTGACGCTCGTCAAGGACTTTAACACAGACGAGATTGCCAACTATGTCGAGCTGATCCGACGTGGACAGCCCGACTTTATCGAGGTCAAGGGTGTCACCTACTGTGGTTACGGTGGTGCATCTGGCTTGACGATGGCGAATGTGCCTTACCACGCCGAAGTAGTCCGGTTTGTCGAGTTGATTCAGGAGCAGTTGGGACCTGGCTACGAGATTGCAGCAGAGCATGCGCATTCGTGTTCGATCCTGGTGGCGTCGACAAAGTTCAAGAAGGGAGACAAGTGGTATACGCATATTGACTATGATCGGTTCTTTGAACTGGTCGAGTCTGGAGAGAAATTCACGAGTCTGGATTACATGGCCGAGACGCCAACGTGGGCGTACTTTGGAGCGCCCGAGGGGGGATTTGATCCAGAAGAGACGCGGTACTTTAGAAAGACAAAGGACCAGCGCAAGGCAGAGCGTGATCAACGCGAAGAGGATGAGCAGAATCAGTAAATAAAAAAAGTCGTTGGTACTGGAGCTGAGCTCCCTTACTTTCTTTTCTTCACTCTTTTTTCTTTTTTTTAGATGATATGTCCTATGAATTCTAGACAGGTCTCTGGTTTATTTACGCGGCGAACGTTCCTGAACTACCTGTAAGAGCTACCGCTGTCCGACGCCTCTCCACATGTGGAAGGGTCTGCCGTCGCCATAAATCTAGTCGCGTTCCCCTTGGATTATTCCATGCGGGTCCGCGCAACCATTGCCACCCCTCGTCAGGGTGTTTTAAAATTGTAGAAGCGTCATTACCCCAATATCCTATCGTCCCCATCCTCCTCTCCATCATCGTCAGCCGCCCTCATTCCTAGCAGGCTCTGTATCAGCGTGCCGTCTGCACTGTGTGAGTTCAAGGTGGTTCTGGGTCATATCCCACCGCCATGGTCCACGAGGAGCTCTACACATACGCAGTGATCCACTTGACGGTAGTATCCATATCCATCCTCCCAGTTGCCACAGTGTCCCTTGTAAGACTGCAACTAATCGCGTTGCCTATGGGTTGCGCGTAACACCCCTTAATATATTTCACACCCCTTAACATATCACCGAAAACCGCCGGAAAGATCACGTGTTTATATCAGGTGATGACTGAACTTTCCGCAATTAAGCATATGTATAGTTTAAACCTGGACCAAATATCAAGTAGCAGCCCGCATAGCTCATTGGTAGAGCGTCTGCCTAGTAAGCAGAAGGTAGCAGGTTCGATCCCTGCTGTGGGCACTTCTTTTTGTTTTGGAAAGTCTTGGCTCCAATCTGGGATTGCCGCTGTGATTTAGCAACCTTCGGTTTTTGGTCGTGAGGCAGCTCGTGTTTTATGACAAGAAGGAGATCGATTAGAGATTTCTAACAGAAAAAGTAAGAATCGCGTAGACTAGTATAGATTGCAGGCTGCTTGATTTATTAAGTTGGTTAGGTTGGCAAAAAGGAAATGACGTTTAGTCTGTAGGTGCTACTACTACATGGTTCTGGAAAGTTAGGAGACGCGTCGGGACAAAGATGCAGTTATCCTGAAAAAAAAAAAAGGGTAATTACTTTTATGCTGCGGAATGCATACAGGGGAGAGAGAGGCCGCCGCCTGTGTTGCTTATGTTGACTATGTGGTTTTTTTGTTCTACATTTACGACATCAGACAGAAAACACCCCCCGGGAGAGCGGTAGCTATGCGCTCCTTTTGACCCTTTCTACTGCTCGGCGAAAGAAGGATGTTACTGCTTGCTCAAAGAAGATGAGTATCAAGTAATGTGTTTAGCAGGAGAGATCTATCTTTTTTTTGTTATTTATTTCTTGCGGGAAAATAGTCTCAGGGAAGCGGAAGGAAAAGTAAAGGTTGGGAGTTGATATCTGTCGAAGGAAAGTGAGGGATTATGCTACGCTTGCTACGGGAAAAGGATCAAGAGCGGTCGATCAATGGAAAGCAAGAGAGATTGCTCGTTTGAGATGATGTGAATGTGTACCATCAAGGTGCACCTCTGGATTCTCTCCTAATCTTTACTCTCCTCGTGCTTGTTACAAGGAATGGTAAAAAAAAAAAAAAAGCTACTCGAAGCAAATCTCCAATCGTCATGGACCGGTGTAATGCGTTATTTTGGACTTTAGGCGGCCTAGGCTGAGAGACAGACAGTTGCTGGTAATCTACCCCGCTTTGATCCGAGCCAGGTATTCACACTGCTGTGGTCTTTTCAGGATCTAGTTTACCCGTCAGTAAACGGGACACACACTCGAGCAGAAAACAAGCGGCGGGAGCCCACTCTGGGTCTACCTATAAAAAAAAATATGAAGAATTGCATCTGCCTGAGCTGCTTTATTCTCTCTTTTGTCGACGTTTGTCTTGTTACAGATCCTAAATTGCACTTATCGGAGCAAAGTCCCTGGCGCGCAAATTGCCACTCGTCCCTGCTTTTCTGTTTTGTCATAAAGTCCATGTACACTTCTGTGGAATCATAGAGAAAGACAGACAGATCGCTCAGGAACATCACTCCTTTTGTGTTTTAGGCAAAGAAATGGTGTGTTGAAAGTCTCTGCGTTGACATATCGTAGCCTCACTTGCCATCTCACAACACGGACAAGTTTTGACCGTGGGAAGGATCAGACAATGAAGCGAGAGCCATAGAATCACGACGCATGCTAGTCCAAAAGAGATAGATCGATCCAAGGGAAGGGGAAGAAAACACGGAAATAGATGCAACAAGGGGATGGGCATCTGGTAACCATAAAGAGTAGCATGAAACGCGAAATGGCCACGGGCCAAGGGGAGATATTGAAGAGCAAAGCGAGAATGGGAGAAGGAGAACGGGAGAGAACAGCAGGAGCAAGTAACTGTCTGCCACTGCGCTGATTGTTTCTTCCCTGTTTCTTTGACTCTGGCGGCGCGCTCTTGTATCTCTTCTTGCCCAGGGTTCTTGGTCTAGGAACGCGTTCAGGAGCTCGGTCGAGTGGACAGCTATATGATTATGTGGTCAGTCTCTGATGCATATCCCCTTCGTGTCACCGCTCTTGCTCACCCCCCTCTTCTCACCCCCTCTTCCGAAGCATTCGTCGTCGTCAATGCACAAACAAAAGCTCAGCAAAAAAAACAAAAAAAACAAAAAAAAACGATCCACTATCCCGTTCACTATCCGAGATTGCTTACGGTGTGTCGCATATTGACAACGGTCAATTGGGCCATGTTATCTCATCTGCCGAAGCCAAAGCCAGAGAAGCGGACAACAATTGCGTCGTTTAAAAGGGACGCTCCTTTTTTAATCGTTACTTTTTTTTTCCCTGGCCTATGCAGGTGTATCAAAAAGGGCGCTAAGACGGATCAATCAAATCATATCGCACACCTTTAATACGCTCTCCTCTCACTCTTCCACGTTTTCGCTCTCTCCCTCTCTCTTGTTGAGGCTCCATTCCTCTCTCTTTTCTCATCCCTCTCCATCAGACTCATCCCTATTCCCTTGCCTCGAATGGCCTGACACACGCAACAAACCACCTGCAGAGACCATAGCTACACCAGCAGTGGGCTACGTTAGACCAACAGCAAATAGTAACGCCAACAACAGCAACTGCAACAACGCCAGCACTACCACACTAGGCAGCAGCTCCTCTACGTGCTACAGGGTTGGTCTCTTTCCATGGAATCTCGGAGCAAATGTCATTCTATGCATGCCACGCATGCTAGCAGAGTGTAGCCGTTCTCATTCAGCCCAACTAACTATCCTCGTCTCTCTTGCTCTTTTTTTTTTTTTTTTTTTTTTTTTTGTTCCCTCTACGACTCGCCACATCACAGCGCGTTGATTTTTAATACAATGCATATCATTCACAAGCTGCGGAGATCCATCTCACATCGGCCGCGGCACCTTTTTGACCTACCAGACGAGATCCTCTGCCTGATCCTCGAGTATTGCTGTCAGGACCTGGACTTTCTACTCTGGACGTGTCCACTTGTGACTCTCGAGAACCAGTTCTGCCACGACTGCTTTCACTGCACCCTGTGCCATGGTCCAGTTCCACGTCGCGCACAGAGACTCCCTAGTTCCTCCTGGCAGCGCACTCACCGCCAGTCCGAGGCATCCTTTTCAGAGTCCACTACCAGGGCCCGTCATACCGCGCCACACCGTGATACCAACAGCTACATCAACAGCGACAACAGCGGTGGCGGTGGTAGCAGCGATGGTGTTGAGAACAACGGCATCAGCGCAGGATTGAGGAAGAGAAGGAAACGGTGTCACGAAACAACAACCTGCGTGAGTATAAATAGCAATAGTAGCTATCGTGGGCGCGGAGGTGGCCGCCAGTGTCACGGCAATGGGTCAGTACAGGATGCCATCGGGGCAAAGCCATGTCCTTGGAACGGTAATCGCCCTTGGTGCTATCACCTCCAACAGCGTCAGCGCTCGTCGCGGATACCGCTCCTCCATCGACTCTTCCCACAGTTTTGGGGCGGATCAGGCTTGACATCGCCTTTCTATCACCTCACATCGCTGCGTATCACTCTATGTCAATACCTACCCTCTCGACTCTTAGCAGATCCGGCACGCGACCCTTTGTTGGAATTCTCATCACCCCATCTCGATGACCTTGACTCGGTCGGTACCAGTACAGGGTCTCGTCTTGTACATAATGAAGCTCAACATAGGCGAAGGGTACAGACTGTGACGGGACACGGCACAAAGGGAGAGGCTTCGAGCACAACCATGAACAGATCGCGAAGCATTAACAGGCCGACCCACACAAGAGGCGTACAACAGGGGGATGACAGCGACGAGTGGAGTGATTCATCCGCTCGCGAGGACTCGGAGAGCAGTGCAGAAAACTCGGACAACTTTGACGATTCGATGCAGCCCTCGCCACCCTTCCAGCTCCTTCTCGTCAGCTCTCGATTCGCCGACGCTGCTGTCCAGTCTCTGTGGCGCAACTTGGTCTTTCACGGCCAGGACTCGTACCAAATGCAGTCACTTCTTGCTACGCTCTCGCTGGAGGACGGGTTAGAGGAGCTTCCTCTCAAACTCGACCGCCACTCTCCCGGCCTTGAGAAACTCAAGGAGGTGGAAGAGGGAAATGTCGAAGCTAGCGCCGCGGTCGGGCGGGGCGGCGAGCAGGCGGTCGAGACACACGACGTCTCCGAGAGGTATGCAAATAGACGTATACACGAGCTACGTTTACAGGGAGTCTAAGGCTGTGATACATAAAATGTATCAAAGATCAATAGCTAATATTACTCCTGCTCTCCTTGCCCCTACAGAACTGACGCTAGATCGCATCAACAGAGACCTCCTTGGCAGCCGCAGCAAGGGCAAGGAGAACGACCGAGCTGGCTCGAGTCCATCAATAATTCTTTGAAACAGCTCCCGAGATTGACAGGAGTTACAGGAGGCCACATTTCACACGCGGAGGCGTCTTGGGAAAATAACGCAGCAATCTCAAAAATAGGTAGAGGCGACACGGCACCTGGTATTCACCGGCAAAGAGGAGTTTATAGGCAACAGCGATACGCCGCAGCAGGACCCTATGTACAGAGCGGGTCTAAATATCATAGTCCGGGACCTGGACGCGACTACGGCGGCGGCTTTCTTGTAGACAGGGCCAAGTCTCATCGGGCGGCGCCGTCTAGTCCGCGATGGCCCTACCGTCGCTACGTCCGTCGTGTTGTCTTGAATTTTGCGCACCCACAAGCGTCACCCGAGATGCTTGTCAACGTCCTCGAGTGCCTCCAGTCCCGGTGTCCGGATCAGATACAGGCACTGGACCTTCATGCGAACGAGAAGATGCGAGGCGCCGGACTGGAGGAGCCAGAAAAACTAAAGAGGCTTTTCGGATCGGGATTCTCGAAACTGCGATATTTGCGACTCCAAGGCGGATTTGTCGACAATCAGCTTCTATGTGCTCTGATCAAGAGCTTAAACTCACCTGAACCCACATCATCGTCATCACCATCATCTGGTCGATCAAGCCTCGACACCAGCGGAAACCACCACGATGCATTTGCAGAGGTACCAGCCCCGCCTTTACGCGCCATCGCGCCATGCTGCCTTTCGCAGGTCTTTTTGGGTCCTGGATCTATCACGGACAGTGCTATTGAGAAGTTGGTTGCAGCAGCAGGGCACTCGCTCGAAGTCTTTACGGTAACGAGCTGCGTCGATGTTGGAGGAAGAGCACTGGCAGAGTTGTTGACCAAGTGTTCAAAGCTGCGAGTGCTTGCGGTACATCGATCACTTGCGCGGGACAAGGATCTGTTGGAA